GGGGGGGCCCGCCCCCCCCCCCCCCCGCCGCCCCCGCCCCGGGCCCGGCGCCCGCCCGCCACACAGGCGGGCACCTGCCCGAGGTCCCCCGTCCCAAGCGCCTCAGCATCCCCCTTCCCCCGTGCTCGCCCCCACCCCCCTGGCGCCAGCCGTATGCTTGTACCGAGGGTGACGTTAAATTCCCATCCAGGTGACAATTAAAATGCTGCAGACAACCCCAACTGGCTGCGACTCTGGGACAGGGAAGCCATGTTGGAGGGGGCTCCTCGCCACCAGCAGCTGTTCCCATGGGATCCATCACCTCTCCAGGCCTTCATGTGGAAATATGGTTTATCGATGGTGCCTAATGTTAACGTCCCGGCGGACCCTGCGCAGGCTCTCCCTGCCCCCGTTACCTCCACATTGCACCTATCAGCCCAAACCTTCATCAGAGCCGCTCCCTGCAGGGCGGTGTCGATAGGCGTTACCTCCATAGTCCTTTAAGTCTTCGTTTGTAAGTGCCAGCTCGCCCCAGTTGAGTTTGGCAGGATTTTGGCGCTCCTCCTGCCTGCCCGGCTTCCTTGGGCACTGAAAAGCTCTAACACAAACCCAACAGATGAGGTGGGAAAATCGCCCGGACCACGCTGCTCCTGGTGTCACCGTGGCAGGGAGTGTCGATGCAGCGTGACCGCCCGGGCTGGCATCCCTGCCGGGGGTCCCGGGTCAGCACCCCTCTGGAGCCCGCAATCGTCGGGGCATGGAGCCTGCCCCGGGCCCGGGAGGGGTCCTGCTCCTTCGCTGCTGCCACCACGGAGCTACCAGACTCGTGCTGCGTGTCCTGGGTTGGGGGGGTCTCTCCATCCCACCCATCCCTCGCAGCACAGGCACCGTGACCGTCACCACTGGCACGGGGACGCAGTCCCCCGTGCGGTGCAGTGGCCATTGCACGCGGGGCAGGGTCCTGGTCTTCCCTGCAAAGGCTCTCGGTGGTTTGAGCGTGACATCCCTCCTGTCCTCTCCTGATCCTCCGTGTCTTGCAGGCTCCTGCCCTGCGGCACGGGGACGTGTCCTGCCCGTCTCACCGGAACGCTGCGGTGCTGGGGACAGACAGACGGGAACAAGCAGCAGTGTGTGGCTTCGTGTCCTGCCAGGAGCCACTCTCTGCTGCCCGTCCCTGCCGAGGTGCACACGCTGGCGGCAGCCGTTGTCCCCAGTGCCCATGGCACGTCCCAGCCCAGCACACAACCGCCCTCTCTGGGGTATTGGGGCAGGCATCCACCGCCCGGCTGCCCAGCGCTGCCCTGTGAGCAGAGGTCTCCAAATC